AAGACGTCTTCGAGCGACATACGACGTTCAGACATAATAAAGGCATAACGAAGACGTCTTAAAGATGTCTTGTGCTGTCTGGGATAGGGAATTAGCAGGGTGAAGGTTGATTTAAATTTKGTTGTAATTATCAACTTTATGTTTGTGCGAATTTATATTTAATTCTCTTATGAATGCAAAAAAATATAAACCGTAATGTTTGCAACCCGACGAAAAAGCAATGAAAGCATGTCTCCCAAGATTCAGTCAAAAGAACAAAAAGGATGCTGCATTAGTTGAAGTTCAGAGCTAGCTTTACTTAATATGTTTCATATTTGCTTACGTTTCCATTTTTGCCATTGTTTCCATAAAAATGTAGTCTTGCCCGTTATGCACCCTTTTATTCAGATTCGTCTGAATAAAGAGCYAGTGAAAGGAATTACAACTTTTTTATAATTTTCGAGAAAAGCTTGACGCTGAATTGCTTTTGCTATACTTTTCAGGTACACTATTGGAGTTCACCTCCTAATTAATGTTCACATACTTGCATCTGGTTTTGCATGATGATGAAACAAACGTCTTCTGTAAATGCCATATTTGTAATTTTAACAAATCTTGGGTAAAGCTCCAGATGTTTGTCAACTTTTCTTAAAATTGTTTATAGCACCACTTATTCCGCAACGGCTGTCGTAATTACATTTTTAATACGAGAGGTAATTAAATTTAGACGCGCAATGAAATAACTTTTTATAGGACAGTCGCAAAAGAGAAGCAAAGAAAGGTAAATGAACGGTAAGCGAGAAGGTTTTTATTAATTTGCGATGTTGGATTTAAATGCCCATTACTCAGGCATAATTTTTCGTCACGAAACTAAAGTGGGCATTATTGTGCTCAGAATATGGAATTATTTAAGATTAAAAGTCAATCTAACTACGCATACAATTTTCTGTAAACGCTTTCAAACCATCATCTTTCATATTTCTCATTTGTTTCTACTGCTCAATCAGCCATGGATCTAATTAGCAATATTCCTGTTGTGAAATTGCAGTTTGCAGAAAAAAGCTGGTATGGTTTGAAAAGGCGTAGGATATAAATTGGATCTGCACTATGCGATTTTATAGGATTTGCATTTATTAAAGCAATGATTTATTTCAAGCTGAGGCTTGTGTAAAGCGTACTAACACCAAGTCCGTATTTGCAATTACCTATGAATTCGATTAAATTTCCAATTCTAAGAAAAGTGTATTTAAAGTACGCAGGAAATCTGATGGTATAAAAATATTACTAAGAGTTAAAATTGAAACCGAGTTTAAAATTGGTACTCAAATCAGGTTAGATGTAGAACAATCCTCATTTTTTAAGCATTATTAGGTACTACATGGTTTTTAATATCCGACTTTTGTACAAATTTTGTGCCTTTTTAACAACATTAACTTTATTGATTTTTGTCTCACTTAGTGTCGAAAATCTGTGTTTCATTTGATTAATTGTAGGTACATGATGCACATATCAAATTTAAATATATAAAATAGACAGGTGATTTCAATTAAGATTGTACAATTTTTGATTAGTAATTCCTTATGCTGGATCTTTCGTTGAATTAATCTGTGAGTACAGAATATAATTTACGATTTATAATTGGCAACTACAACCGAAATGGAATGTATCTGCAAACAAAGACAATTCAAATAGGTTTTTCTCGTTGGTAATTCCAGATTATCAATTCCTGGAATTCCTGGTACAAATAAAAGCCAACCTTAAAAGCAAATGCTCCTCTCGATAATGGAATCGATAGTTTTTTTGATGCCGAATGTATTTCGATGGTAACAAACTGCTTCTATATAGATAGCTGAACAAGAAAAACAATTTATCAGCTTTTGTAAACCAGAAAATAGTAGTCCAAAACTTTAATATTTTTTACTTCCTCTCAGTTTAATGGAAATTGGAAGTATTGATCCGATTTTTAAGTGAAAATAGTTAAGGATTTACGTTGTTAATTGACTTTGGACATATCGATTATGATTGTGTAAAGCTGCAATTAACTGGCAGTAGTCGTCAATAAATGGTATTTTCAATTAGTGCCGTTTAAAGACATTTGTAGTCCAAACAGATCCGAGAATTATCTGTTTTCCTTTCCCCGATATTACGGGACAAGCGGAATCGAACTCGACTTTCTAATAATGTCTTTCGTAATACTAGTTTTCATTAGGAAGCAATCGATAAGCTCTATAGACAACAGAATAGTTGGTTACTAATTTGTTCCTCACTATTTACTGTCCAAGTGATGTAAACATTTTTAAGTTTAGAAGGAAAAAGTTCAAGTTATACTATTATTAGTGTAACCCGTAATAGTGATAATAGTAATCATATTGTTCATTATTTATGGTCAACATAACATGTACGCAAAGGAATAAAGATTGTTATATTAGACAAAAACTTATTAGGGACCATAAAATGAAACCGGGTTGTAAAATAAAATATGTAAATTGTTTTGTTCTTAATAGGAATGTAGCCCTTTTAAGGAAACTTGAAATACGAGATTTTTATTATAGTATAAAAATAATAACGAAGAATATGAATTATTCAGATTTGAATGGCATTTGCGACACTTAGTCAGAAAAATTGTATATTTTTACACTTGAAACTAGCAAGACTGGCTCAAATACTCAAACGGTTTTTTTAAAAGAAAACTACTGATTTTACTAAGGTTTTTGTAATTATTGGACTAAACGTTATTAGCTATAAGACAATCAAAAACCTCTCAACCAACTTGTTGAAATTGTGTTTGTATTATGTATATATTGTAGTTTTTTAATGTCCCATAAATGTGCACCCGRATCACCTTCACATTAAAATCTCGACCATTAAATCTCCGTCCGCAGATCCCTTAAAAAAAACTAAACTTCGCAAATACGCTTTAAGGAAATTCGTGCATGTCCTCTTGAAGCACAGGAAATGTAAAACGTATTTGCAGTGCTTTTGAAAAAATTTATGTTACTGAATGCAGTTCAAATTGAACTTTTCAGCTTAACTTTTACTCAGTTTGGTTTTTCTGGCAAGTAATGGAGTAAGATGCTATTAAGATGGTCAGATCGGTTGGCTTTCAAAACCATTTAAGCAATTTCCTGCAGTGGTTGGAAATGTTGGACTGTTTTAAAGCATTGATAGATTGAATACTCGAGAATAAAAAATCTCACAGATTGATAATTTAACAGTAATAACTTTAGAAGATTAGAAATGTTTTTAAAAATTTACATTTTGTGACGGGTTATACTCGCATAAATATTTTATAGTTTAGGGTGTAGATTGTTCGGCCCGTCGACCCTTGGCTTAACTGGTTCATATAATAAAAATTCTAACT